AATATGACATTACAATAATGAAACGGAAAATTGCATTGATGACATTTTAGGGTGGGTGTTTTCTATTTACCATAATACATTTCTTACAAGAATTTTAATTTATTGTCGCAATAAATTCCAATTAATGATGCTTGAAGAAAACAAAACTGTCCTTTTTGTAAGGATTAAAGGCATTTTGTTCAATCAAAGCATAAATAAATACCAATAAATTTAAAAATGCAGTTACTATGTGCAGATTTATGATACAAATCACAATTATTTTTTTTCTAAAGAAGCGTTTTACAAATTGGAGTGTTTTTCAAGAGCAATGTTTGTATTTGTTTTTGCTCTGCTATGCAGTCATAGTCATACAGTTACCTAAATAAAGATGTAATAAGTTTCCATCTATTGTCAATTTTTATTACATTCTTTGACTTGATGGTTGAGGCTACTGCTAACCAGCCAGCCAGCTTGTCGCGTTTTTGCACAAATCTACCTAATTGACTGGAGGACATTCATCTTTGCTGCTGGTTCACTTCTTCTGCTAGCCCATACTGTGCTACATGCATTATGTATATGACATATGTGGTCTTAAAATTCATTCATGACGGTCATAAAAAGTCTTAAATTTGAGTTTATGTAACCTGCAGAGACCCTGATGTAAATGTGAAGGCAGATTTGTAAATACTTGTTGTAATGTATTGTAATTCTACAGTTAAGTGAAAGTCTTATTCAGTATTCTTTCATCCTGCAGGTTAGATGTAACTCATACAGACCAGAAGCAGCCAGAGAGCAGATCCAGAGTGGAGCTCACAGTCCTCCCAAATACAGGTGAGAGTAGAAAACATGCAGACGGAAATAACTCGCTATAAGTCACTATGAATGCTGTATAAAGTCACTTCAAAGTCACTATGAATGGTATAATGTCACTGTGAAAGATACAGTCACTATGAATGCTATAACGTTACTATAAAGTCACTATGAATGCTATAAATTTGTTACGAATGCTATAACGTTACTATAAAGTCACTATGAATGCTATAAATTTGTTACGAATGCTATAAATTCACTGTGAATGCTATGAAGTCACTATGAATGCTATAGTCACAATAAAGTCTATGAATGCTATAAATTGACTATGAATACTATAAAGTTGCTATGAATGCTATAAATTTGTTACAAATGCTATAAATTCGCTACAAATGCTATAAAATCACTATGAATGCTATAAATTCACTATGAATGCTATAGTCACAATAAAGTCTATGAATGCTATAAATTCACTATGAATGCTTTAAAGTTACTGAATGCTAGAAAGTCACT